TAGAATAAATTGTGATTTTAAAGGGCAGTGGTTGCACAGCGAGTCTTTAAATTTTCTGTAAACAATGTATTTCACATGCATTGTATATGTCACTGTGTGATCCATATCAAACACGAAGTGGTGTGACAAACACTGCCCTTCATTATAAACAAGGTCATTAGCTAAAAAAAAAAGTACCTAATTTTATTCTTAGCAGAAGCCAAGATTCAGTTATAAATGTGTTGAAACAGACTAGCCAAAATATGGATAAACTCACCCGTAACCATAGTTACTTGTCTCTGCTGTAGCAGCGGCAATGGCTCCGGCGATAGCAGCCAGTATTCCTGGCATGCCGTGCAAGTTATTGACCCCACATGTGTCATGCAGGTGAACTTTGGACAACAGGAATGGCTGCAATAGATAAAAAAAAATTATAAACTATAATTACAGACTGGACATGAATTGAATTTGCTTTTGTTTGTTAATTAAATGCTAACTATGATCAATTCAAAACGAACACAAAGACACACAGACATCGGATTGACTTTACCAGTACCTTGACCTGTGCAAAAGCAAAAAGCAAAAATGGGGCATAAAAAATGCTTTTTTTGATGTGTGGAAAAAGAAGAATTATGGATGTGAACGTACATAACAGCAGCATACATGTATATAGTGGCTACAATAAATGCAATGTATACTTACAGAAATCCATTTATATCCCACAACAGAGAGGGTGCCAGCAACGACTCCAATCACCATGGCACCCCAGGGTTGTATCATCATGTTAGCGCATGTGCCTACAGCAACACCGCCAGCTAGTGTTGAGTTTTGGATATGAACCTGTTCATAAACAATGTACAGACAGAGGTGATAATGTAATGATAAGAATATTTTGAAAATCACTCAAAAACATGGAGAAATGAATGGAGTGCTTACAAACGTAACACAGAAATGTTGACCTCAGGTATCTTACATTGAGCACTAAAGTTGTATTGTCAACAAAACTAAGTTGAAAGCACTTAATTGGCAAAAAAACAACCCAAAAAACTGAAAATGTTCACAAGGTAAGTTATTTTCTTTACTCCAATAAATCCCATCATGCATTGCTGTACGAATTGTGCTTCAGGTGAACAACTAACTTACAAAGTATATAATGTTCAAAAGTACGGTTAATGACTACAAAAGTAAAACAATTGTTCCATAAATTCGAAAAGGATGATGGTGATGCAGGAAAAACATCAAGATTCTGGTTTGCATCTCAGACTAATCTTAAAGCGAAGGGGGGTCGTCACCTGCGCACGCGCGGGAATTGAGTCCCAAGCGACGATAACAACACATGCTAAGAACGCAAGGCTCATAGGTAGATGCTTGTTTGTAAACAATGACACGCTATGCCCATCTGACGCATGCGTAGATGACGACCCCCCTGCTTTATTACAATTTGATGTACGGTAATCTCTTTACTGTAGAAGGGACTTACCATATCCAGCTTGTTTTCCTTAGACACCATGGCAGATACAGCAAAGGTTGTAACACAACAAGACGCCAAGGCGTAGTACGTATTGATGACAGCCCTGTGTTGGTCATCACCAGGGGCTAGCGCACTGTTAAAACTTGGCCAAAACATCCACAGGAATACAGTGCCTACAAAGATATATATAAAAAGATTTAATAGTAACTTATTATGTAGACCATGGCTTATTGCATTGGAAGCATGGGCTCTCAAACTAGATTATTAAAGCAGGGGGAGGGAGTCGTGACCCACTCAAGCGCGGAAATTGAGTCCTAAGCGACAATAACAACACGTGCTAAAACACAAAGGCTTATGGGGAGACGCTTGTTTGTAAACAATGAAACGCTATGGCCATCTGACGCATGCACATGTGATGACTCCCCCGCTTTAAAATTCCAGTCTGTTTTACTTATATAAAAAACTTTGTTGACAACCAAGAGTAAATGGAGATGCTGAATTATTTGAGTTACTGACATCAAGTTACAAAAATTACCATGCCCATATTTCAGAAACCACGCCCACTTTTGTAAAACCACGCCCAAATTGTAACTCCAACTTTTTATTATTAGTTAACCGAACTTCGAATTACAGGAAATATACAACGTTAAACAAACCAAATAATCTATGTTGCCCGTAACTTGATGTTCGGTTAACTGTTAATTAAAGTTTGAGTTACTAAATGTGGACGTTCAACAAAAACAAAAATATATGTTGCCCGTAGCTCAAAGTTTTTATTTATTTTATTTAGTTTTATTTATTGACTTTAGGTCTATAAGCCCCTCATTTAAATGTGATAGACAATAGTGGTCCATGGCACCAAAGATCAGCTGTTTTTTTCTATCTTGAATTGCATCATACAAACAATTATAGCACGTGTACATGTATGATATGATGTAGGTTTAAAATTTGGACATGATTTCTATTTTTCTATTTCTATATCTATTTTGTCATCAACGTCCCATTATGTCTTATGTAAGTTTAAACAAAATCTCCACGCACATCAATCTGGTTCAGGAATCGAACAGGGACATGATTTGTGGCCACCATTAAATTGGCCATCTTGAATCTTATTTTGAAACTGGTGTAGCTGCACGTGTACATGTAAGTCAAATTTGAGGATGTAAGTTTGAACCTGATCTTTACTGGCATGTCTGTGATACATGTACAGGCAGACAGATTGATGGAGACACAGAGGTGAAATTGTAGGTCCTCATTTTCAGATTTCTACCAAATGGAAAGAAGTTTGGACTAACAGTAGAACGGGATTGCATATCCCAATCAAAGTGTGTCTCAAGCAGGACAAATATACCTTGATCAAAATATTTTGTCTTTGAACGTCACTGTCAAATGGATTTGGATATATATATCCCGGATACTGTAAAACTATTTATTTTCACTGACATTTAATTTCACTATTTTAACGTTTCGAGCATATTCATTGTGTTAATGTCACGAATTTGTCAAGGAAACAATGAGTTTTATTGTTATTTTACATGCTTATGTGGATTTAATTTAACGAAATTTACTCATCAGCGAAATTAGCCTAATTAAAACCCAGTGAATAATTAATGCATTTACAGTAGTCATAACTGGAGAGTAATAAAAAGTTTATATATGTATGCCACCCCTTGCAAAAAAGTTGTTATCAAATTAAGGATGATTACATTTGCCAATTGGCTAGAAACAAATTCTAATTGTGATAATATAAAATAATCACACTTACCGATCATGGCGAACAAATCTGAGTGGTAAACACTGCCTTCCTTTGAACTGCCCTCCCAACTTTTCTTGTTCAGAACTCTGGATGCGGCCAGACCAAAATATGCTCCGAATACGTGCACAAACATAGAGCCACCAACGTCAGCAGTCTGGAAATAAAATTAACGTTATGAATAGCGCCCTCCGTGTGCAATGTGTGAGTTCTTAAAACCGACACTGGTGGCGCAGATCAACTACGTTCGGCTATCGTAAAGAGCGAAGTGCAATCTTATTATTATTTCGATACTATGTGTTGATAAGAACATGGGATTATGATTAATCATAAACTATCTAGTGTTTAATTAACAGACAGTTAACTGTTATCGTATGCCCTAACACAATCACTGCGCATGCGCATTATAGTTTTCCGCTGTTTCATACTCACTTGGAAGTAGCCAGCACCCACATATTCGTTTACAGAGAAGAAGATGATCTCTACAAATCCCAGGATGATGAGTTGGAGGTGAGACACTTTGCCCAAAAGTGCACCGAATGATATCAAGACAGCAGCTGCTGCAAAGTCTGACGTCAACATCCTTGATAGATGGAAAAATAATACGTCAATTGTAGACAAGCTCGCATAATAAAGACAGGTGCCTGTATTGTTGGTTAGCACAGGAGATGTTGAATTCGGCATATGACACCAAAGTATGTGGGACATTCGTGGAACCGTCTGTTAACGGTCATGTAGTAAGCTACGCCCTTCCTGAATTTTTAACTGCCATACTACATACGCCTTATCCTAAATTAGCTAAATAACAACCGTCCTGTTTTAATAATCGTGGCCAAAGTAACAACTCTTGAAATGTTCTGCGAAACTGACAAGGTGAATTGTGCCGGATCTATATTATAAAAGATACACTAAGTTATCGATAAACCATTCCAGTCATTTCGGTGTAAAACTGATACTTGGAATGCGGATAGTGATAATCATCAATTCCAGACTTTTTTTTAAAAATTGTATGTGGATTGTCATTGTTATTTCATTTTATTCATATTTTTTTCTGTGAACGTCGCGGAGGTAGCATGAATGTGAATAATTATTGGAATAGCCTGTAAACAATGTAATTTTCCTGGATGTTCATTGCGTGACGTTGCACGGTGAATATATTGCGCGCTAACCACCGCCCGAGCTCATGCGTTTCTGATCTGAGCTCAAATACGGCGAGTATTTTTGCTCAACTTTGTGAAACCGAATAACAGAATTACTTCTCAGTGTGTTACAGTGGATGGATAAACTGCTATTCGTATAGTGTTCATGTCACGTAGTCATGTGACATTAAGCATGCACCATCGCGTCTTTACTTCGTAATTCTTGTTGACGTTTTTTGTGTATTGCAATGGTAATTGCAATTCATTGATTCAATAATCATTCAATAATCATTGATTCAATAATCAATTCATTGCGCCTTCGAAGCGATAGACGAATTAGATAAATATATATTCAGTATACTGTCACAGTGGCAAGAAAACATCCGATCCGATTAATATGTAGTGGCAGTGAATTGAATCATTAGTCTGTTTCACATTAGGCTTGTCTAAGGTCGGTCCAAATATTTTGTTTGTTGAATAAACGTGATTAATATTTTGGTTCGGTTTCACACAGTAAAAACTACATAATTTAGGCCGGCCTAAAACGTCCTTCTTTCAACATTCATTTCAATATTAACAATCAATATTCAGTATGGCGGACCCCAACGTGTTGTTTCTCCTGGGGGTCGTTGCATATTTAGTCAAAGAAAGTGGCAAATACGTAATCTGGCGCTTGTTTATACTAGTAGTGTTCAGGCTACACCTACACCAAGTACGGACTAAGATTTAAAAACCAGTATTACATGATGAACAAACAAACAAGTCATTCACTGTCGGGTCAGCTGACAAAATAACTGAATGAACCAACCAACACTGCTCGGTACACATGCAATAGTAGGGGAATATGTCCATATATATTCTACTATATATATTCCATATATATTCTATTAAAAATATTCGCATTGCATGAAAATAGCAAAATATGAAAAAGCAAAGCATCCAAAATGATGAGTGGTTAAGCCACAATTTTAAATCGCCTTTCATCGACCACGGACGCCCAGTATGAGTAGCACGATTTAGAGATAGACATTTTTCACGGTGGGAAAACAAACTTTGTAATAATACACTGGCAGAATTATTAATGAAGTCACGACCTTGTGACGTATGTAGACGTAACATACACTATAAGTCACGTGATCTTCAGCTTGTTGGTATTCGTAATGGAGTACGTCGAAAAAATTATGTTTTCGCGGGTTAAATTCCATGCAAATTGCATTTATTTTAATTTTCAAATAATAAAAGAATGAATTTCAGGCGGGTTCGAGTAAAAAATAAAAAAACGTCTTTCCACATGACGTGAAACAAGATATCTTTGGTGGATCATTAATTCTCTTCTCTTTTGTAAAAAACAAATACCCAGTTCTGACATTTGGATACTTTTTTTTAGATAAATGACATCTTTGCCCTAATGCTCTGTTGTCCGCGAGTCGAGTGTCACCATTCATCATGTTTGGTTGTGTGTATTTCCTGTGTATCGATAAATCACTCATTCGCGAGCTGTCGATGTTAAACCCACTAAAAGTGCAAACACAATATGGACTCGAAGTCTTCAAAACACACTCATAAGGAAATGGGTCAGGCAGGAGAAGTATTCATGCTACACGAAGTACGGACTAAGATTTAAACTAATCACATATGTTTGCATATCGGATAGACCCAATTGCGTTCACGCTCGGGAGGAAACATTTGTTAGCACGGGCTAAGAAACGCCCAAACTTGCTAAGAATATACAAAAATCGTTTTAACTATGATTACTCAGTACAGTAACTAGGAAGGTATACATCTTAGTTCTACGCTTATAAAATAATACAAAAGCAAATTCAGAACGTGCAGATTGCAGCATAGATGGAAGTAGCACATAGTCTCGTCGATTCTGACGGGTACTAAGCGTTCACGCACGTTTCTTAGCACGGGCTAGGGTATTTAACCTCTTAGCCCGTGCTAAGGACCTGCGCGTGAACGCTACTATGGTAATGGAACGCTGATCCGACTTTGTGGAGCCTCCGCGAAACTGGGGATCTGGCTTTAATATATTATATATCATTAAGTAATACTTACCAAACGAAGAGAATAACATATCTCTTACAAACACATTATTTTGTGAAAATGCTAGAAATTGATAATAATTGGGATTAATGACCATTACATAAACGCCATTTGGTCTACGATCAGCGAGTGACAACACTGTCAAAAACTGGGGTTATATCTTTATTCACATCCAAAACGGTTTATTTTCTTGAAGATCATGTTTGTATATTTTGACGGAGAGTTGACATCTGCAAGGAGAGATTTTGGACGCTGTTATTTACTGGATCGTCAACATTGAATGCTCCTAAGTTTCGTAACTTGTTTATATTTATAGTTTAAATATTCAATATGGATGAGAACATGCAGTATCATTGTTTATATTGTATATTGATGACTATTTTGGACTATGATTTATTTTGACCTGAAAACGCTGTTCTCAGTAGCACCCATCTTCGTTAAATCATGATGAAACAATGAAATTCTCTAATACGCATGTGCACTGGGTTTTTTAACAATAATTGCACATGCGTATTAGGGGTTTTGAATGAATACTATTGTGCATCCTGCGAACGCAACATTTTAGTACATGATTCATCCCAATCCGATTTGGTCTACAGTACGAGTATCGAAGAAAAATATTTAAAAAATACATGTTTTCGTCCATTTTGCATCTTTAAGTGGGTAGTAATATAGATAAATTGACTTTTTAACCTCGATAGACCTAAGTTCGATCTGATCACGTGTTGGGTGTGTTTTTACCGTGACGAGAAAAATAGGTATGGCCTTCATGTTTATTAGACATAAACCCTCTTATGATAAGATAAGATAAGATAAGATAATTCTTTATTACAACCTTATAGAATGAATTACATATCTATTTTGGTTTATGAAATGCAAGCGTCTTATGTAAGCGTCGACATTAGTGAACTACGCCTAATTTATGGAAAGCTTTCTAGTCAAGATCGGTTTTCTACTTGAATAACCATTTCACCCATTTTTGTGTTTACTCGAGTTATCCCCCCGGGGTCCTGGACCGTGAAATTCCACACAGGGCTAAAGTGTGTTTAATTCTTACGCAAGAAAATAGAGATTGGTATGTAGTAAACACGTGAAAGGGCTAGTATTCCTTCTAAAAAAATAAATATACTTTTAAGATTAGGAATTCTACAGTCTGTGTTTACACTCTGCTAAGCGCGTTTTTGCGCGGATATGCCAGTCTTTGAGGAACACCACGTGTTGTTGTGGCATTTATCGCCAATAACAACACAATCTCGGGTCATGTTTGTATAGTGTTGTATACTGTTATTGTGCTTTCGTGGCGTCGCCAGCCTTCGTCCAAAAATGAACCGAAAGACGATTTTGTATTAAATATAAACTATGGACAAATACATAGATATATATTTGTTTAATATTGCATTCTTAAGACCAAATTATTATATAATTTATCTTAAACAGTATTCGTCGGATAAAAAACATGTACAATGATTGTTATGCGCATGCGTACCAGAACATTGCATTGTTTGTTAACTTAGTTATATGCTGGAAAAACAATCTGACCGAGTCTTCACCCTAGTAAATAGAGTTACTAATCTAATCTAATCTGTGAAATTCTATCTAAAAACAACAACAACATTATCTTTCGGGGATATGCTGATCGGTGTCTATATGTAACTGTGTTTTGTCTACATACAGACAACAGAGGAACTACAGATGACGATGAAACTGTATAAGTAAATATTATGTCATATGTAAATACGTCATTGTATGTCAAATAATTTCACTACGTATTTCACGAATATGGTACATTAACATATGAGCAACTGTGATATTTATGCCCGGGGAGGGGTACTCCAAATCAGACCTAATACCCATGCTGAAGTATAGCTTTTCAATAAACCCTCTAAACACGTACTTATTTGTGTGAAATTATATCCCTTTTTTAAGTGCTTTCAAGTGCGGAAACTTAAAATAGATACCCTATATACATACCAAAATCATACGGTTTCCAAGTTGAGGTAACATGAATTAATGAGTTTCCCTTCTTCACACTTTATTACTATACACGCGTATACGCGTCATATAACTAAATAACACCTCTTTTACGCGTTTTTTTTACTTCAGCTTGCGTACCATATTTTATTCAGAGTCCCCCCCCCTCCGGGTATTTATGCTGTTATATTGTTTTAGTTTAGCTACGGTATTCCGCATCACGCAGACCCTGATGTTGTTTTTGGCCCATCATTTTACAGTGATATTATAGTTGTGTGTAAATTCATCAATTCAATTAAAATTTGCGCGAGTGTGCGACCAAAAAATCTACTTCCCACTGCTCTCACTTTCTTTCGTTTGTTCGTTTATTTTCTCGTGGTTTGTTGCTTGATTTTAATGTTGATGAAGTTGCACATATTAGTTGGGTTCGCTCAAAGCTCTTTAGCATGGGCAAACAGTTTTGTCCTCTTTGTCCGTGCTAAGAGGTCCTAGCGCCAAAACACCATTGTATTTAATGTTCTTTTGGAAGATTTACTAATATATTCATAACTATTCATTTCTGTATGCCATTTCTGACATGACAATCAACGCGAGCACATCTAAAGACATTGTTCTCGAGAAAAAAAATAGCTGACGATGAGACTCTATTTCCTGTTACTAGTATTCTGCAATCAAAACATCTTGAATTTGCTTCGGTATTGTTTCACTGACAGTAGTACCAACATGTATACTTTCCTAGTACTGGGTAATTATAGTTAAAGCAGTTTGGGCTTTCCTTGGCGCTTGCTAACCCCTGTTTCCTACCGTGTGTGAACGTAATTTTGATAACCGCTAATACCGGAGACAACGAAGAAGTGTGAATATTTATTCTCGCGCAACGCGAACGAAAACACTTTTCAACTTCGCCGTGGACGTATATGGGGATTTTATGCGCGGAAAAAAGGGCGGCGAAACAGGAGTGGCTAATTTTCTTTACTCTGCGCTGATTTTGTATATTCAAATACTGATATATTTCAATACCCGATGTCCCGCGGTCGAGAATCCGTCCGATCATATGTGCTGTTAGCCGATAATAACCTTTAAATATCCACTAGAATGCACATGGCAGATTTAATGTTGTGGTCGATTTGTACCCGTGCCCAGGGGTACTTTCACTGGGGAAAGATTTTGTGAGCGCTCCGACCGTTTTTTTCTTCTAACCGAATGATCCGTTCTTAGCGAGCGTGACACGCAGAGTTAGTCGTATAGTCTGTTCGACTTTGTTAAAGCGGGAGGATCGTCACCTGCGCACGCGCGGGAATTGAGTCCCAAGCGACGATAACAACACACGCTAAAACGCATTGGCTTGTTTGTAAACAATGGCCACTATGGCCATCTGACGCATGCGCAGGTGACGACTCCCCCGTTAAAACAAGTTCTCTTCTCAAGTTCTTCTAGTTTCATGCCCACGTACCTAAAATGACCAACCTAACATATTCTTTCTTGTAATGCATGTATCACAGTATTTTGTTTGTTTGTGACATTTGACTGTTTTGTTTAGTGAACAACAAATCAAGTTACCATTTGCTTGTAGGCAAATACCACAATGTTTGTTGTTGTGTAAACTTAACGATTCAGAACAAACTGCGCTGATGTGTGGGCTGTGGTGCACATCGGTGTCGACACAGTTCGTCGCATCCCAAGTTGACAAAAATAAGCAAACTCAGCGCTTTATACAAAAGTGGCTTGAACTTTTCGGACAATAATATTTTAAGTCGTTGTTCTTATTAATCAACTTTTTTAGGATTCTCAGGCGAACGATTCACATTGAAAGAACAATGATTTGACGATTCCATGGCGCACAAGTAATTCATTAACTGCAAATCGTCGCGGGTACCGTACTGCCATACTATAACCCAAAGCCATATTGTTGTTACTCTCCAACCGACTGATTTGACAGTAATAACCTCTGCTTTTCTGGCATCGTTTCACGATTGATTCAAAATAAAAACGTAGAAAATCATGCATACTACTAGTAATTGAAAATACATGTACTTCTTTACGTTACTGTCAACTGAATGTGTTGGTGACCCCCCTCCCCAGTCAGGTGGGAGGGCACTCTAGTAAAGACATGCTAGGAATTCGGTACGTAGGCCGCATTAGAGTGACGCCAATTTCGCGTGCGATTCATAGACTAGTTGATGCTCTAAGCTGTTGAATATTCGATCACAGCCGAATCTACATAAATGCTCGACAATATTCGGCTATTTACTAACAATTTTTTGACCCAGATATTCTATATACTACTTCGTACGACAGATGGCACAAACAAAATGTATCGATTAAAGCGGGATAGTCGTCTGCGCGGGGAAGTGAGTCCCAGGCGACGATAAACAACACACGCTAAAAACGCAAAAGCTCATGGGTAGACGCTCGTTTGTAAACAATGACACCATTGACGCTGCAGGTCGGCGTCTTCTACGGGACAGCGCTTCCCGTGACGACACAACGCAATGACACGCTATGGCCATCTGATGCATGCGCAGGTGACGACTCCCCCGCATTAAAGCGGACGCAAATTAGATTCGTACAGGTAACTTTAAACTTCTCTGGGAAGTTCCATATCACAACAACTTTTACATAGTACGCACATAGACAAAAAATATGTAGTCCAAAATCAAGTGTCGCAAGGGGAAGGGAGACTGTCACGAAATGTAGCAATCATTTTCACATCATTAGATCATTTAATAACGCCAATAAGAAAGCCCATGACTACTGTATATTGTCATAGGAACTTGCCTAGGGAATTTGCTAACTACACGTACGACTTGTGTATGCGCTCGCTGTAAAGCGTTTAAGTCGTCGCGCAGCGCTCGTTTGAATTTCGCGTAAACAATGTATTTTACACGTGTTGTATGTGTACATAGGAGCCACGTCGAACACGGTGCAGTGTTAAGAGTTTTCACATCATCATAATGGCTATCCATTAGCGTGGGCCATTGAAGGGAGAAATATAGATTAAAGGGCTACAGTCGTCGTGCCGCGTCCTGTTCGATATGGGACTCATAGGGACGTATACAACGATTGTGAATACATTGTTTATTTACATGAAATTCGAACACGCGCTGCGCGACGACCACCGCGCTTTAAGGGGTGCGTTTTAAGGACGACTTACGTCTCCACTCCAACCTGTATCTTGCCATGATGTAAATGCAAGAATCCTTGCATTAAGGTCGCCCATTGGATAACGAAAGCGGCAAGTAAAAAGTTGTAACCGACACTTCCAAAGCCATATCTCTTGAGGAACGTCATCAAAAAACCGAAACCGATAAAAATCATCACATGGACATCTTGAAACACTGAAAGAAGAAAGACACAGTATAGATTAGTTTACGACGTTGTCGACTACACTGATGCCTACATTTATCTACAGCTATAGCGGTTGCATTGTGAAACTGTAATGGTGCGCTAATCATCGTTTATCGAAAAACCCGAAAAATACATATGGAATGGGGTTTGATGATTTTGTTTAATGCTTGTACCCCTCTGACTCCCGTATGCGAAGCACACGTGCACATTAGGAGTCTTTGCAGTTAGTATAAATGGGTTCTTGTGACCTCATTAATATGCATAAATGTAATATCTCAAACACTGTTGCAGATAACGAATGTAACTAGTGATATATGAAGCCATTTGAGAAGAGATATAAATGACTAACATAAACACATAAATGTAATATCTCAGACAAAGGCAAGTCTGTGGTCAAAATAAGATATACTTCAATGGTTTTGCATGTATTTTTCTTTATTTGAATTGGAGATGTGCTTCTAAAATAGCAAATACAGAATTTACGCCTTCGACACCGTTAAGCACACGTGAGTTCTTTCTATATAGGCTTTCTTTGATTACTTTTGATTTTGTGAAATCAGGAAATGTTGAAACTCCGTTACAGAACTTACACCGTTAAAATCTTCACTTCAAAATAGGGTTGAGAATTAGAAATTGTAAACTCGGGGTTGAACATTGCACTACAAGTCATGGATCACTGACCAGACAATATGGCTGTGATGTCAAGTGATACATGGGCGTCGGTGGAATAGCCCGAGGTATCAGTGAAATGGCATCTGTTTGTACCCATCAAAAAGACATGTTTACCCTTTGTGTACTGTGCGTTTCACTAAATACCTCTTCAATTACAATTATCAATAATGCTCACTCGTGATATCTCGTTAATTGCGTTTGTCACTCGTCCTTGGCGAGTGACTGTTCGCCGTAACTGCTTATCCCTGGATCAGAAAATGAAGTAATCAAGATAACTGTGCAGGTTATTTTATAGGCCCCGATAATGCTGAGAGAATTTCTACGTTTTATATATATACTAAGTTGTAATGCAACTTAAAACAACAGTTTTGCTGAGACTATATCATGTTCATAAGGTGATTGGCGACAGGATAGGAACTGGCTAAAACATCTACAAAATGATAACAGATTATGTAGACATAACTATGGAGAAATGTTGTAAAAGAGATGCTGAATTGTTCGGGTAACGAATACCGAGTTACAAAACGGAAACTTTTGCAATTAATCATATAATAGCCGAAATTCGAGTTACGCGGCGGGCAATATACTAGTAGATTGATTTTGTTGTCTAACGTCCACATTTAGTAACTTGAACTTTAATTAACAGTTGCGTAAATGGCAGAGGTGTGTATATGGTCAAAACAAGGCGTCACAGTGTTTTTAATATTCCACTGTATAATAAATGTAATTTTTATTTTATTTGCGCTTTTAATAAAGAAATATGACACAGTCTGATCATACATTGACCCACAAGACGCAAACAGTGTAGTCGTAGTATACTAGTATATGCTACGTTCACGACCCAGATGCCCACAGATGAGTGGCGGTCTTTTAGTTATTTGTTTGTTTGACCTTTGACAGTGTTTACTGTTTATAGGCCGTCGCACTGTGACATCGTTTATTATTTACATTTTTCCCAACCGGCGTGCAAATGTCCGATACCAAATGTTGCTCGCTGATCATAGCTAGTGATCTTCTGCAACAACGTTACCCATAAGTTGTGGGACACATACATATAAGACGTAATGAACGAGTTTGATAGATTATACGTGTCATAAAACGAGGATGGTGGATTCCATACTCCGAAAGATTGACACAAAAACTACCGAACGAGTTCATTATATGACATATTACACAACTAGCTGCAACTTTTGTTGACAAAATTGTTGATTCGTGTATCATGCTATGTTGCATGTTGACCACAGTGTCACAAAGAATCTACTGTACTTGTTAAGTTGTAGCAATGAATAGAGCATGTCACTGTTTCAATCAATAAGTTGCAGTATCATGATGCATGGCCCTTAATAACGAAATAGTTTGCAAGTCAAAAATAACCATCTGTCCTCTTTATTTTGCAGCTTGTTTACATTCTAGCAGTGGACAAAATCGAGATTTGGTTATGACTGTACTATTCGGTCTAGGATGGCGTTGATTATGCTGGATGAAATGGTGATACGGATAAATAAAACGAAATTACATTAACGAATGTGACTTATAACTTTTACTATGAAAACCTTAGCATCCCGTAGGCAGGCCAGTCACATTGGTTCTCACTACAAGAGGTTACGATCCCCCTGTCGAATGCTAAGGTAAACTGAAACATATATATATATATATATATACATATTAACATGAAAAATTGTCCACCTATGCGGATCTGTTTGTACAGGAATTTTACGACCGTATGCCTTTACTGACGTCAATCAAACTTGTTAAGTGGGAAGTTGGCACCAAGGCTTAAAGGTACTACACCTTGCCCAAGGGTGACCTGGAGGTAGTTGTGGCAAAGGGTAACTTCATTCTCCCAAGTCCATAGACTCCACAACCGGATGTAGTTTAAAATCTTACCCAGGACAAATACTGACAAGTACTGAAAAAACGTTGAACCATTTCCAGGGAAAATCTAGTGATCGATTTTTGACGCTACTGACGTACCGGGCAAAGCACTTTAGGGTCAATAGTTTGTGTACCATGTTCTACTTGGTTCGGACACCCTCACAAATTACAGTAATACATCAAATCTAAAAGTGTATGCTTCTGTATCTTCTTTGTTATGCTTAAGCACGCGTCTATATTAAAGGGGAACCGCTCAATCCCAGGGATTGCAACAAAGAATCATGGGACACTATTGTTTATGTTGTTTACAATGTTAATCTATCTTTTGTTATCCATTGTTATTTTAATCCAGAAAGTAAATATGTTGTGAGATTAGGCTTAACTGGAAGGTGCCCCTTTAAGTTTATTTTCTTCGGGTGAATGAACTCATAGAGGTTTTTAGCTGTTCTGTTTATTTCGTTTTCTACTCACATGATGCGTTAAGTTCGTTTATTTTATTCGCTATGCAAATCACTTGAATATTACGCAGTTTGAACGCTATAACGCGTACACCCCCACCCCCCTCTCGCCGGGACAACAAAGTCCACTCGCAGCACGAGATCGGTACAAGTGCATGACAAAACTTAAAAACTCTTAATTACAGTTGAATAGGAAAGATACATTTTTATTTGAGTGGAAAATGTAAATCAAGTAATAACACAGAGACAGAGATGGCAATCAGAGAATTGCGAGATACGCAATTGCCATAGTATCGCACAAATGAATAGTTGCACAATGATACATGCAGATCAGAATATTCTCAGTCATTTATAAGTGTGTGATCACCTAGAAAATAGTTTACTTGGCTATCGTGAAAATTCTGAATTTTTTGTATTAATGGTCATAAAAAGTATAAAGTTCGAATGTGGTACTAAAAATATGTAAGGACATGATTTCGTCTCCTAGTTCCTGTATTAGTCCTGGTGACATTGTTGTCTACATAATAACATCTCGGACAGAAGTGCTGGCAAGAATAGGTTTTATTTAAAGTTATAAAAAATTCACCCTGAAAGATCCTCGCGCTTTATTCAAATTCAAAAATAACAGTTTCACCGACAACGCCCATTACCCGGGAGCCTCTGTAGACTCAATTCAGTATTTTGTCGATTTACCACCAATCACCACTAAACGCGTTGTGTTCGGTCTATTTTTTTTTTTTTTTTTTATTTATTTATAAACAATTTATTCAGTGTCATGGAAATGTCACCACTTTTCAAGCGCGTAAACAACAGAAGTTGTTATTTCTCTTGTTCTACCTTTTAATTATATCCTATACCAGGTATTCAAGTTCCCTCACATGGAAACCACAAATATATGACAGTCATGGGTGTAACTGTATTCCTGACATGGGCCTTCTCCCTGGGGTACTGTAAATATTTTTGTAAAAAAGCCTAGATGAACTGGATATTTCTTGGATTATTTCCATAAAACGCCCCCCCCCCCTTCACGCGTTCAATAATTTCCAGAAATATTCAACCCCGATGTTTTAGGTGCATAGTGCTGAGCAGTTTGAAAAATGCACCATTCACATGGAAGAATATGTCCTAATAACTGATTTGGGGAGAGACGCCTCGGGAGAGGGGAGGCTTGCAGTGGATAATTAAATACAGTGACCCCTCGCTAAGTCGCGCCTCGTTAAGTCGCGATTCGCCTAAGTCGCGGGTACCATAACGGTACCCCTTATTTTATACACCCGATGTGAACGTCGTATTGTCATTCATCGTTCCACGTTTTCGTTCCACGAAGCTGTAATCTCCGTAGTCAATGGTGTTCTTGTCTCATTCTCTAGATGGAAATCCCACCCCTGCCTGAAAATGGTATGGCCGACCCGCTTCATTCATTTTCCCGTTGAAATCGTTATAATTATCCTGGAATAACTGCATAAAATCACGCGTTCGGCAGCACGGAATCGACCCTGAAAGCATGATCATATTTGCACTCGTATTTGCACGCACAATGCCACGACGGAACCACGTGTACGGTATGCCCGCCAATTTAATTTCGCCTTGGCTATAAATTATAAATAAATCACCTCTGTCTCTAGATGAACGTTAGAATAGAGTAGAAATGAAAAAAAAAAATGACCTTTGCCAAATGTTACGCCAAATGATTATATGATCCTAATGATAAACTTAAAGTATTTAATATGATGATACGATTTTACGAACGAAGTTCGTTCGCCTGCTGGGGACCGAAGGCTGACAATCTATTATCGCAACAGCGCCGGAGCGTAGGCTTTTCACGCCGTGCCACGCGTTGCTTGACCAGAATATGCCGCACTCCGGTGTTAATCAGGTTAAAACTAATTAGGTGCGGATATTTTTGCCGGGTACTGTGGAATGAACGAGACTGGCACCCGGCCACTTCTCTCAATCTGTATTTACAACAATGTACCATGAAATTTTACGATCATTTCCCGCACTCAGTAGGATATGATACGAGGTGTTGAGAAGGCGGAGTCTGCGTGGACGGTTTGGTTAGTGCGTCTCTGTGTTAATTGCATGAATATCTGACCTCGTCAAAGTGGTAATATAATATTGAAACATGAGAATGACACTGTGCATATGTTTTTTGAAATCATGAATGTGGCGTGGGGTGTTACCGGGCCATATGTCTTCATCTTTTCGACTCCGACATCTGATTGACAGCCTGCCACTCGAAACTCCAGACTGAGTCCATTATGTTCACAAGATAAACACACGAACACCTTTTATGATAATTTTTAAGC